GACAGGCAAGGAAGATGCCCGGCGAGATACGATCGTGTCAGATTGATCTCTGCTCATACTCGTTTGTTTTGGTTGAGTAAACAGTGTAGTATTCTATCACACAGCTATACAATTGTATCGACTATTGATTTATTGGCTAGCTGAGTAAAAGTGAGCACGCTTATAAGAGTAAAAAAAATAACACATAATTTATCTTGATACTAGTATGTTTTGTGTTTGTTATATGGGGCAGAACTGAGTTTGCTAGTCTGGCAGTTGTCACAAATTTAATATTTATTGGAAATTGTATACTGACAGTGCAAATACTCTATTGTCGTTACTAGAATATTCATTTATGGAAATTATAATAAAAATCCAGTTAATTGATGCTTTATCCTTAGTTTGATATACATGTAGAATCCTCCATACTGGGGTCCACGGGTGTAAATAGGCTGTGACGGAAAATTTTGACTGGTCGTCTGGAAACTCGTTATCACATTACACTAAAAATATCACTTGAGGTCAGATCAGGATTCTGATGTCATGGTAATAGGGTTTTGTTTTCATGCATTGTCAAGTCTTTACCTTTGCATGGCTGCATAAGGTCAGCCTAAGTCTGACATTGGCGGCATTGGGAATAAGAGCATCCATGCATGCATTCTAAACAATATAGTTTGAAAACAAATTAATTTACTTTCAAATTTACAAAAAGACCACATTCCTAGAAAGTTCTCATTAGACATTCTGTTATACCTCATCAATATAACAGTGTCTTATTGGATTATATTGATCACATGACGAGGAAATAAATCATTGTGGTACTTCTCATAGATCATGCACTTAAGTAACGTGATCATGTTTCCCTGATAAAATAATCGCAGCCTCTCCAAACAAATGGGCAAGAACCACCACATCTAACTCCCAAGTCACCAAGGCAGACAACAACATTCGGGCGCCACCCTGATCATCTTTACAGTTGTGTAATTGTTTTATTTTGGTAGAATGAAATATTTATTGCCCCTTTGGTAAGGATGCCCTTGTGGTAACGAAACACAGTTCATTGCTTCCCATGATTGATAACGAGGGAACATGTTTCCTCACAACAAGTTGTAATATTTAGGGCTGACAAAAAATATTTGAAACTTAACTGCAAATAAACGGTTCAAAATACTGTTGTTGTAGTTTTAAGTACTTCCATGTAGGGCAATGTCAGTGTTACCATTCGTTTTCCTTATGCTACCAATTCAATCATTTTGAAGATTAAGAAGTTTTATCTTGAACTTAAGTAAACCTTCAAATGCTCAGCGATTGGGATACCTAAAGGTGAGAAAGGATGAAATGAACATGGAGCCAGTTTTAAGTCTGTCAGCTGGCTATATAGTCATGTACAGAAGAAGACAAAGTTAGAACAGATACATATTGAACAGTTTGCTGAAAGTCTTAACTGGTGTGCAACTCAATCTTACAGGGTTGGCGAGTGACATGTCGGTGCACAACATATTGGCGGTTAGAAAATATATTGACATGCATGGCACCGCATGAGTCAAGGTTAAGACCTTTAGGTTTCTGGTGGCATTGTCTCGTTTGTCGAGTAGGCTTCTGGTGCGTTCCCTCATTTGTCAAGTGTATACATGTATTGAATTTAAGAAGCTTGCGGGAAATAATGCACTAGCTGTTTAGTTGTTTGTCATGGGCGCATGTGCCGCGCTGGATGCAGGTGCTGGTTTTACACTTCACATATAATTACAGTGTTGGTGTACACTGCTGATCAGTCTGTTAGTTTACAGAAGTAAGTAATCAATCAGCTTGATAAATATATTAAGTACATGTACATTTTACAGTTTGGTTTGGTGTGTTGATATTGTAAACAGTAGCACAAGAATTAACTATGCAGTGTCTCAAACATTCCTTTTACATGCTGTTAATGTAAGTTTTGTTATTATGCATGATGGTTTCCAATAATTTATACTGTTCATTCTGAATAACCAAAGAAAGCACGACAGAGAAATGCCATCACCTTGCTATGGCCACGCCTTCTACAAAATGATTGTCTACAACCCCTACCAATCTTCAGTTTCTGATTGGTAAGGGTGCTGTACTCGATAGAAGTCACTGTTACTTAAAGGAATGTGAAAGAAGGACTTAGTTATTTTAAAACAGATTCTCTATGAAACCACCTGTCAATAAACAAAAACACACATTGTAAATTAAATGATTTTTATCGTTGAAAATTGTTTTTCTTATTTTTATTTTTTATCCTTTTTGAAGGTTATAGTTATATAATTTTATATATAATTCTCTGAATTATACTCCCCTAGCAATATTTTCACTTTAGGTGATACAGACAATCCAGACATTGAATTCTATAGGATTGTGTCGTAGTTTTTGGTAAATGTAAGGAAATCCAGCACATATAAACTACTGTAGCAATATTTTCACTTTAGGTGACACAGACAATCCAGACATTGAATTCTATAAAATTGTGTTGTAGTTTTTGGTAAATGTAAGGAAATCCAGCACATATAAACTACTGTAGCAATGGTAGCGTCTTTTGATGCATTAGTGGTACCCAAATTCTGGTAATTCCATTATCATTTCTATTAACCTTGGACACATACGGTTACAGACCTTCCTTCCTGTATGTATTATGTAGTACCAGCTATATGCTGTTTTAATTAGATTTTGAAGGTGTTGCTCTGCCAGATATGCAGGCACTGAGTCCCATTGTGGGTACTTGCTGATTTTTTTGTTTAATTTCATTATCAGTAACATTTCCTCAAGATTTCTGTTGGGAAACATTAGCCTATAACTGTAAAATGCCAGAACGTCTCAGGAAAAGCTGATCAGTGTTAAGTATGGATCCAATGTGCCCTTGCTGACCAAGCAATTGTCTTGCCCCTACATGTAGAGTGATCAAAGGTGACAATTAACAAAACAGAATTGGGTTCTCCCCTAGGTGTCTCCATGTGACTTGATATCTAGCTACTAATACAAGTATATCAGCTGTGTTCAGGTCATAATACCCCACCCCCTTCCAACAAAGGTAGGGGGGGGCTATACTGGAATAGGTTGTCTGTTTGTCTGTCCATCCAGACAACTCCTCCTACAGTTTTTAGGGGAATTTCATCAACTTCAATAATGTTATCAACATGTTCTGCAATTACTATTTTTATCAAGCTTTTATTACAAAATTATATAAACATTAACCAAAATTTTCTGGGGCATATCTCCTATACTTTTTCACCTGAAGCAACCGATTTGGTATGCAAATACATCTTGGGATTGCAGAGTGTCGAAAACATGTACAAAAAGTAGGTCACTGTGACCTATGCTTTGACCTTTGACCTCAAACTTCAATAAGAGTATGTCTGGGGCATATCTTCTATACCATTTGACCGTGAGTAAATAGATTTGGTACGATTTGGTACGTCTATGAATGGCAGAGTGTCAAGTACAAAAAGTATATCACTGTGACTTATGGTTTCTCCTTTTACCTCAACCTTGGAAAAATTTCATCCAGGACATATCTTCCATACTTTTCACCTAGAGTAACGAGTATTCAGGAACATCTTTGGATGGCTATATAAGTGCAGAGTACTAGAAGTAGGTCACTGTGACCTTTGCTTTGACCTTTAAGCTCAACCCTTTGCAACAGGTTTCTAGGGCATAACTTCCATACTATTTTATCTGGAGTAACATGATTTGGTATTCAAGTACATCATGTGATGGTGGAATGTAGAGTATGAGAAGTATGTTACTACAGTGACCTATGTTCCATTCTGGCAACAATTCTAGTTGAACCGGTGATGCTCCTCCAATAAGACAGATATATGTCATTTGTGTTTTATGTGCATGGTTGTATGTTATAATTATTTGATTGTAACATATTACTTAACTAAACCTCAGTGTTGGACTACTAGGGTTCTAGTCGTTGATCTTTTGATTTTTCCTCAATTATGAACAAAACTGGGGCTTATATTCCTGAAACCGTTCTCATGCTCAAGCCTAATTTCTTATTCTGGTTATAAATTAATCAAAAATATCTTATTTTATGAATGATTTGGGAAAATAATTGACTTTAAGCCAATTACAGTTTGTAATGTTTGCATTTGACTTTTGGATCATATGACATGATTTGAGGAAGTTACAAGAAAGACAGTTGGAGCAAAGAATCGATGCTTGAGCCTGAGAATGTTTTCATGAATACGGGCCTAGGGTTTGAACCTCAGATGCTTCTATACCAATGATGGTCCAGTGTACTATTCACGTTATTTCCATGTCAGTAATTAAACATATCCTATTCAAGTGCTTCTTTATTACAGCATTGCCTATCTGAAGCATATATTCACTATATTACTTTTGTTAACATGCTTTATTCAGGGCCAGGTACTTTTGTTTGAGAACTTACTGGTTATTAGCAGTTGTGACAGTTTGACTTCCTTTTTGAGAACTTAACAGATCTTAACAGTTGTATCAGTTTAAATGTAGCATTACCATAGAAACTGTGTAAACGCCCCCGTATCCCAGTGACTATGTATCATTATATATAACATTGGAGCTGATGGAGCAGGAAGGGCCCTGTCTAGGCTGTAGGACAATGGTGTTAAGCTTAAGGTTGAGCAGCATCTACATTTTCATTTAATGGTGGGGTATAAGGTAACGTTCCATTCATGAAATTTGACATTAAAAAACACTTAATGAATTAACACATTTTGTTCCATCGATAAGTCAATGTATCGGGAAAGGTTTGGTGAGCATGACCGGATCACTAACGGAACGTGAATCACAGACACTTCATTCATGTTTTATAACTAATATATTCCTTACAGGAGAAAATTGCAGAATTGTCCATATGAAATTAATACCGACAGCATGACACATCCTGGAGGCTGCTACAAATAAGGCAGTATTCATCAAGCTCAGATGGGAATTCCTTTGCACAGATGTCAGAAAAGTCAGTTGCAGGTGACCACCTAGCCTATGATGATTCAAGGTCGGGCTATGGGGCATGTTCCTAGCTTTTAACAATTCAGGGTTGGAATATTGGAATACAAGATTGGTGTACATACTGGTGGATTCCTAGATTTTGATGATTCAACATCATGGTATGCACTAGGCAGTGCATCCCTAGTCTCTGACTGTTCAATGGTCAGAGTATCTGGTGGGTTCCTAGTCTCTGACTGTTCAATGGTCAGATTATCTGGTGGGTTCCTAGTCTCTGACTGTTCAATGGTCAGAGTATCTGGTGGGTTCCTAGTCTCTGACTGTTCAATGGTCAGAGTATCTGGTGGGTTCCTAGTCTCTGACTGTTCAATGGTCAGAGTATCTGGTGGGTTCCTAGTCTCTGACTGTTCAATGGTCAGAGTATCTGGTGGGTTCCTAGTCTCTGACTGTTCAATGGTCAGAGTATCTGGTGGGTTCCTAGTCTCTGACTGTTCAATGGTCAGAGTATCTGGTGGGTTCCTAGTCTCTGACTGTTCAATGGTCAGAGTATCTGGTGGGTTCCTAGTCTCTGACTGTTCAATGGTCAGAGTATCTGGTGGGTTCCTAGTCTCTGACTGTTCAATGGTCAGAGTATCTGGTGGGTTCCTAGTCTCTGACTGTTCAATGGTCAGAGTATCTGGTGGGTTCCTAGTCTCTGACTGTTCAATGGTCAGAGTATCTGGTGGGTTCCTAGTCTCTGACTGTTCAATGGTCAGAGTATCTGGTGGGTTCCTAGTCTCTGACTGTTCAATGGTCAGAGTATCTGGTGGGTTCCTAGTCTCTGACTGTTCAATGGTCAGAGTATCTGGTGGGTTCCTAGTCTCTGACTGTTCAATGGTCAGAGTATCTGGTGGGTTCCTAGTCTCTGACTGTTCAATGGTCAGAGTATCTGGTGGGTTCCTAGTCTCTGACTGTTCAATGGTCAGAGTATCTGGTGGGTTCCTAGTCTCTGACTGTTCAATGGTCAGAGTATCTGGTGGGTTCCTAGTCTCTGACTGTTCAATGGTCAGAGTATCTGGTGGGTTCCTAGTCTCTGACTGTTCAATGGTCAGAGTATCTGGTGGGTTCCTAGTCTCTGACTGTTCAATGGTCAGAGTATCTGGTGGGTTCCTAGTCTCTGACTGTTCAATGGTCAGAGTATCTGGTGGGTTCCTAGTCTCTGACTGTTCAATGGTCAGAGTATCTGGTGGGTTCCTAGTCTCTGACTGTTCAATGGTCAGAGTATCTGGTGGGTTCCTAGTCTCTGACTGTTCAATGGTCAGAGTATCTGGTGGGTTCCTAGTCTCTGACTGTTCAACGGTCAGAGTATCTGGTGGGTTCCTAGTCTCTGACTGTTCAATGGTCAGAGTATCTGGTGGGTTCCTAGTCTCTGACTGTTCAATGGTCAGAGTATCTGGTGGGTCCCTAGTCTCTGACTGTTAAATGGTCAGAGTATCTGGTGGGTCCCTAGTCTCTGACTGTTCAATGGTCAGAGTATCTGGTGGGTTCCTAGTTTTGGATGGTTCAAGGTTGGAGTATATGCAGGGTTCTTATAACCTCTGACAGTTCAAGGTTGGGTTATCCAATTGGTTTCAAGGTCAGGATCTATCTGTATGGTTAAGCACCTAAACTATTAAAGGTTGGGGTATAGGGTGGGTTCCTTTCTTCTTACCATTCAAGGTGGGGCACTTTTGACTGTTCAGGGTTGGAGTATCAGGAGGGTGCCTCATTTCTAATGATACAAAGTCAGCATGACCAAAGGGGTCTTTATGCTAAAAAGGTCAAGGGTACCAAGTAGATTAATAGCTTAATATTATTCAAAATTCATAATGATATAGTTCATGGTCAGGGCATGGGGCATCTGCAGGGTCCAAAAGGGTCTCAATGCTTCAGGAAATAAAAAACCTAAGGTCAGGGGTATCTATAGCTAGATATTATCTAAGATTTTAGATGATATGGTCAGAGCATCCAATGGGCCATAATCTTTTGAAAGTTGAGCACCAAGCGGGTCCATATCTACTTGTGGTTGAAGCAAGGATACCAGGTGGGCCATTCCTTTTAGACGGTGAAATGCCAGAGTAGAAAGTTGGTTTTTAAGGCTGCTGGAATTTTATCATTGTTTTAGTCGTGGCTCTCTTCGAATTTCTACGAAATAACTGTTGAAAGAAAAACTACTTATATGCGTCTATCCTAAATAAAAAGTGTAATTGTCGTTTGTATTATCATCTTGCTGCTTTACTTAGAAAGTTACATCCTCATTGCACTTCATGGTAAATTATAACTACACTGCTTATGCTTCAAATGGTATATCCTAGCCTCATCAAATGGTATATCCTAGCCTCATCAAAGGTAGTTTTCAGTCGTATAACCTTAGTGTATAATTTACATGGTGATTAAAGCACTTAAGTTAGGGCTGTTACATCTTACAAAAGTTTAAAGAAGAAAACAAATTAGTGACAACGAGCTAAGGCTTCCCCAGCTACCCCACTCGATACCCCTATATATACTTTGACCATTGATTAGTGTGATAAGCCCCCTTATATGTTTTGCTCTTTCCTTCACCCTCATTCCTATCCCCTCTTTCTAATAAGTTAGGACAGTTGCTAAATGTGAACCCCCAAAGTGGGCCATGACCCCCCCTCCCTGCCACCCTCCCCCTTTCTCATAAGGGTAGGGCGATTAGTTAATGTGACCCACCCCAGTGGACCATGACCCCAAACCTCTCCCCTATTCCCCTTTCTCATGAGGTTACAGTGATTGGTTAATGGGACCCAGCCCAGTGAACCATGACCCCCATCCCTGATTGGTTAATGCAACCCACCTCAGTGTACCATGACCCAACCCCCTTCCCCCATATTCCTTTCTCCTAGTGTGACCCACCTCAATGGACTAGGACCATTGTAATGACAATTAAATATTGGTTGTCCCTATCTACTAGGAAACATTGTTAAATGTAATCCAACCCGGTTGACTAAGGGCTTTAGCAGACTTTGCAGTCCCTCTTAGCACCATTGGTTCAATAGAATCCATCCTAGTGGCCTATAGATTTAATTTGCATGAGGCGGCTTCTCGTAAAAGTCACTTATATCGTAATCCTCAGGGAGATGGTTATTTACACCATAGGGGAAATGACTGCTGCCCAGAATTTTGAATCATCAACGTAAGGTGATTGTAAATATATACAATGTAAACATATAAACAAAGCCATCCTTCTTTTTGAAAGATTTTTTGTAGGAAGTTTAGTCTCCCTGGACTATACACAGTTAGACATGCATAAATGAAGGAGTGAATCATCTTGAATAATGTGAAGGCTTGAAATGACTTATCAGTGATTTGTTGCTGATGTATGTTGTTCCACAGTTGTATCTGTCAGTATATTCCGCGCTAAGTCACACATGACCGAGAGATCCCTGCAAACTTCCCATGAATGCTGTAACTTTGGTAAGTAACTTATCACTCAAAATTTTTTGGTGTAGCTTTTATGATTAATGTGTAAACCTGTGTAATCTGGAAGAAAACTCTGTCTTCCAGGGAAACCTGTGTAATATGAAAAAAATATTTAACCTAGACAAACTTGTGTGATATGGAGAAATCTCTCGCATAGAGAAACTTGTGTGATATGGAGAAATCTCTTATCGAGAAAAACTTTTGTAATATGGAGAAATCTCTTATTTAGCGAAACCTGTGTAATATGGAGAAATCTCTAATTTAGCTAAACCTGTGTAATATGGAGAAATCTCAAATCTGGAGAAACTTGTGTAATTTGGATAAGTCTCCTTATATAGAGAAACTTGTATAATCTGAAGAAATTTTTCTAATCCAAAGAAACTTAATTTAATTTAACCTGTGTAATATGGAAAAATCTTTAATCTAGAACAGCTTGTAATATGGAGAAATATCTAATCTACAGAAACCTGTGCAGTAAGGAAAAAAAACTAATTTTGTTAAACCTGTGTATCATTGAGAAATCTCTGATCTAGAGAAACTTGTGTGACATAGAAAATCTCTATTCTAAAGAAACCTGTGATATATGGACAAATCTCTAATCTAGAGACTCGTTTGCAATCCAGAGATATTTGTGTAATTCAGGGAAGCCTGTTTATTCCAGAAAGAATTGTGTAATATAGACAAGCCTCTAGTAAAATTTTGTTGATATACAGACACCTGTGTAATCTATCTGCATCTCTAATCAAAAGAAATATCTGTAGCCTAGAGATGTTTCTGTAAACTACAGAAACTTGAAACCTTTTCAATGACGAAAACCCTTTGTACTCTAGAACAATCTCACTGTGATGAAGAAAAATTCTGCAGGTCAGGTAAAACCTGTGCAGAGAAATCTGTAAATTATCTGGATATGTAATATAAGACTTTTTTTTATATAATATCATTGTAAGTACCCAGACTTGCAAGATTTCTTTCTGTTTCTATGTGCATTATAGCACTGATTTCAAATGTATTTGAAAAAGTTGTGTTTTGGACCAGTATGTATTACATTATTTCTGACAGTGTTAGCAGCACCTAGACTGAGTGCAACCTGATGACGTACAATCTACAGCTAATTATCACCTCGACTTTGGCAGTAAGAATGATTGTATGTTCTATATTGTTTGAAATTTTCATTTAAATTTGTTTGTCGATTCTGAATAGATGACTTGTACTTGGTCCAGATAAAGAAATCATATTTTGCACATAGAGAGCTTAGAGATGAGATGGAATTTTGTGTGCCATGCAAAATAGATGTAATAGCGTTTAGCATGTATTTGAGGAGCTGTCTGTGTTTATTTCATAACCAAAGGCTTATAAACTGAAAACAAATTATGCATTAGATACCCTGTGTGTAGACACTGAGCCTGGTAGATCAGAGGCAGCGCATCAAGTCCTATAGAGTCTGGGCTTACTGTCAAAGAGTGGAAGCCGCCTTAGAAAGGCGTGACACTGTGGTGCCAAATCAATTGAAAAAGTTATCAGTACTGCATGAACCATAGCTAGTGAAGAAAGCTTTAATTCTCAATTCCCGCTTACTGAAATATAGCTAAGAGGAAACCATTGGTTCTCTTATACCTGATGGTGAACCACAGCTGGTGAGGAAACCATTGACACTCGCATACACAGTACTGAAACCAATCTTTGAATTTTGAGGTCAGAATTAAGTGTACTTTAGGGTCAGAGTTCAGTGCACTCAGGTTTTGGAATTTGTTTCACTCAGGTCTGAACTTATAATAAGATCAGGGTTTAGTGTACTCAAGTTAAACTGTGAGTTCAGGGTTTAGTGTACTCAAGTTAGACTGTGAAGTCAGGGTTTAGTGTACTTTTGTTAGACTGTGAGGTCAAGGTTTAGTGTACTCGAGTTCGATTGTGAGGTCAGGGTTTAGTGCATTCAAGTTTGAAGTATACCTGCATCACTCACAGAAGGTGTGCAGTGCATTGGAATTAGGTCTCGTGTGATACTTTATGTAGAGTTATGGCCCTTTGTTTAATTTTACTAGCGAAGTTTGTCCACGGCATAACTTCCATGTTATTAGGGCCCCACCCTATATTAATTCATCCGTCCGTCCGTTACAATCAAACAAGGTATCGAATGACCAAAGGTCACTGGGTCTAAGGTCAAGGTCAAATTTTGTATATTTTCCCTGATGAACATTTTGTTATGACATTATGAAGCAAAGTTGGTCAAGGTCACTGGGTTAAAGGTTCAGGTCAATTTCAATATCTTTTCACTGGGGAACATTTTGTTATGACACTTTGAAGCAAAGTTGGTCAGAATTAAACAAGGAGTCAGTTGACCAATGGTCAAGGTCACTGGGTCAAAGGTGAAGGTTAAATTTTGTATCTATTGACTGGTGAACATTTCATTTTGATACTTTGAAGCAATGTTGGTCAGAGTTAAACAAGGAGTCAATTGACCAAAGATCAAGGTCACTGGGTCAAAGGTCAAGGTCAAATTTTGTATCTTTTCCCTAGTGAACATTTTGTTATGACACTTTGATGCAAAGTTGGTTGGAATTAAACAATGAGTCATTTGACCAAAGGTCAAGGTCACTTGGTCAAAGGTCAAGGTCAAATTTTGTATCTTTTCACTGATGAACATTTTGTTATGACATTATGAAGCAAAGTTGGTTGGAATTTAACAAGGAGTTTTAACAAACAGTGAACTGACTTAAGGTCAATGTCACTGAGACAAAGGTTAAGGTCAAATTCAGTATCTTTTTACTTGGGAACATATTGTTATGACACTTTGAAGCAAAGTTGGTAGGAATTAAACAAGGAGTCAGTTGACCAAAGGTCAAGGTCACTGGGTCAAAGGTGAAGGTTACATTTTGTATCTTTTGACTGGTGAACATTTCGTTTTGATACATTGAAGCAATGTTGGTCAGAGTTAAACAAGGAGTCAATTGACCAAAGATCAAGGTCACTGGGTCAAAGATCAAGGTCAAATTTTGAATTTTTTCCCTAGTGAACATTTTATGACACTTTGGAGCAATGTTGGTCGGAATTTAACAAGGAGTCAACTGACTTAAGGTGAAGGTCACTGGGTCAATTTCAAGGTCAAATATTGTAGTTTAAGTTTATAAAAATAATAAGCCAATAGAGGAACCAGATTACAATCTGCCGAAACTTGTTAAAACAATTTTACATGAACCAGAATAATTTAAAAGTTTAATTGTTTAGGATTTACACACCTTATGTTGATGTGACCTTTCTATTCTTCCAAATATGTATATTGGCTAATAAGGGGAGACATATGTTTTTGTTCACAAAAACAAATTTCTATTCTTTTCACAGTTGGTTCAAGAGTTTAGTGTACTTTGGTTTGGACTGTGAGGTCATGGTTTATTGCACTTAGGTTTGAATGTTAGTTTTTCAGGGCTGTTGGAACAAACCTCTCAGAGCTGTAAGAATGATGGCTTCTGATAGGCTGTTAGCTGTGTAAGTAGGTATAGGGTGTTGTGTAAATTCCATGATTCCGAGTGATTCAGTGTCTGTCCTGTGACCAATAGAATAACCACCAGTCAGGGCATACTTTATTAGGTCAGTTTGAGGTCCATGTCCTTTAGTTTGAAAAATTGCTTTTGAATGAAATTAACATTTTCCAAACCTACCTATTGACAATACATGTCTGGGTCATTTTAGTGTTTAAATTCTGGATTTCATAATGGATTTCATAATAGAAGCTGGAATCTACTGGTACCAGCATATACAGCATCTTACTTTATTTCAGTAGGACACCAAGGCACATCTTAAATCAAGGTTAAGTGCAGGTCAGACCAG